CCGACCACATCCGTACCAAAGGCACCCCTAATAAGGTTTGGCAATGTAATAACAATTAACTGATGTTTTGTGGACAGTTATTTGTGTTTGCTAAATTATGACTCTTTGAAATTAATGCATAGGTATAATACAGGTTGTGTTCTAATAACTGGCTAAAATGTCCCTTGTTTGTCCATTCCCCTAATTTAAAATCTATGGGAGTTTTAAAAATAAATTATTTTTTTTAACTTTATTTATTAAAGATAATTGGATTATAGAGCAGGCAACCCCACTCTCCCAAAAAAAATACAAACAGATATAAATATTACAATCACAACATAATGAAATTACAATAATAAATCAAATACATAAATATACACACATATATATATACTATTCAAAAAAAGTAGGGGATATTTGATTTTGGGGGCATAATACTAAAATATGCAAATGACTACGAAAAAAGTCACTATAGAACCTAACAGAAGAAACATTTCCAGTTACATGTGACGCCCAAACGCACCAATAGCTACCGCATGGAATGCAGGTGATGCTTGGGATCATCATGGGGGTCCAACCCAAGATTTGCACGACTCTGACTTTGAATGTTACAGTCATTGTGACATTGAATTCCAGGGTGGAAACATCAGTTTAATTGTTTTAGTGACCAGAAAACAAATTTTGATATGCGTCGGCTTACCCAAAATGAAAGGTTACGTGCCCTTGGCATGCTACAGATCGGCACAACACAGGCGGCTGTGGCGCGGACGATGAATGTTTCTCAGTCTGTCATAAGCAGGCTATGGTCCAGATACCGTGATACACAATCTGTACAGGACAGACCACGCTCAGGTCGACCAAGGGCGACAACTCAAGCCCAGGATCGATTTATCCGTACCTTGGCCTTGAGAAATCGTGTCATCACAGCAAATCAGATCAGCGCTTGTCTTCAAACAGACACTGGTGTGAGAGTGAGTGGCCAGACGATTCGGAATCGACTGCATAGGGGTCACCTTCGCGCCCGACGTCCTCGCGTGATCCCTTGTTTGAGAGATCATCACATTCAGGCAAGACGTTGTTGGTGTAGGGATCGTCAACACTGGGATAATCGACGCTGGAGCAATGTGATGCTTTCAGATGAGTCAAGGTTCACTGTTGATTTTTTGGACAGACGTAGGAGGATGTGGCGTCGTCGAAACGAGCGCTTCCAAGACGTTAACGTCATCAGACATGATCGATTTGGGGGTGGTTCTGTTATGGTGTGGGGAGGCATCACTGTTGCTGGAAGAACGGCTTTACATGTTGTTGCAGGGCGTGTTACAGGCCAGTACTACCGGGACAACATCTTGGCAGTCCATGTTGTGCCGTTCGCACGACGTCATGGCCGCCGTTTCATCTTCCAGGATGACAACGCAAGATGTCACAGGGCCAGGATCGTTACAGGTTACCTCCAACAACAGAACATCACCACATTACCTTGGCCAGCACTGAGTCCCGACCTCTCCCCCATCGAGCATGTCTGGGACATGCTTGGACAGAGGTTACGTCAACGTCAACAACGTCCTGCCAATGTCCAAGAACTTGCTGCTGCGTTGCAACAGGAATGGGACAATCTGGACCAAAATGACCTTAGACGTCTCATTAGGAGTATGCCACGTCGGATCAATGCTTGTTTGGCAAACAGAGGAGGATTTACCCGTTACTGACTTGGTTGTGATGCTGTGGTAACTTTGCTGTTTGACCCCGGGTATCATTTTACCCTTATAATGGTCAGTCTGTGCCTTACTTAGTCTAACGATCATTTGGAATAAATCAATGAATGTGTACTTCATTTCATTTTGTCATTTGTTTCTTCGTCAGTTTCATTAGGTGACTTTAATAACACTTAAAAATCAAATATCCCCTACTTTTTTTGAATAGTATATATTACATACACTCACACACACATGTACACACTACACATACACTAATTCATTGATAATTAACATCAAACAACTGATAAAGAAATGTACCATAATAGACTAAAATAAATATGTATGCTGCACATGTCTGATATATAAAGAAATAGTTAAGATTTTCAATACATGTAGTTCAAAAATTAAACATTAAATATTACTGTAATGACTTTAATTGACAAAAGTTCTGATTTTAATGAAAATGAATATGGAAAAAACAGTATGTACAAGCTCTGTTGATAAGATATGAATTTATAGGCTTGAATCAGCATACAATAGGTATGTAAAAACATATATACAAAGTCATTTTAAAATTTAATAAAACATGTTGATTTTATAATTATACTAAATCATTCATGGACTAAAGTGTACAAAATATGCATAATGAATTTGTTATGGTTAATATATGTTATAGGAGTTCAATGATAGGTTCAATATTAACAAAGATTACTTGAATTGTAAAACTGTTCAAAATTTAAACTCGACTAATGATACAGATTTAAAACATTAGTTTTACTATAAAATAAAACAAAATTATAATTTGATGGAATAACTTGATTTTAAAAATATCAGAAATCAAGAGAAAAAAAAATCACTAAACTTCAGCCGATCATAAGGGGCAGACACAAAAAAAATCCCTGATGTAAGAGTTATAAACTATGTGAGAATGTAGCATTCAACTGAGGATAAAATCCATGCTCCCATATATTGCTTTAATTTTAGTAATGCCAGGTTAAAGGTGTACAAAGAATTTGGATAGAAAATCATTTTAAAGAAAAGGAAAAAATAATAATACTTTTATAACAGATATTTGTTGATGTAATAATGAAAATATATATATTTATTTATTTTATATATAGTTTTTACATTCAACATTCTTCTTCATCATCATGATCATCATATTTATCATCCATAGCCATCTCTGTGGGTGTAGGTGTGGAATTTTGACAGTCTTTACATCCACATAGATCTGTACAGGAAAGAGCAGCAACTTTACACGAACATCTACAATTAATACAATTGTGTCATAGATTAAATTATCTTTGCTCAATTAACAATATATTACCAGTAATATAGTAACTTAGCTCAGACTTCCTGGGTGAATATTAATTTCTAAACTATAATTCTTGCATGATATTTATACTAGAATATATCGCCTAAAACTACGAAGCCCAATTAACCGGCCCACTAGATCCCTACATCTAAATTTTTTTTGAGCAATGCAATAGCATTTCCGCCTGTAGGATCAATAATCTTTGCAGATCTTTTCACGGCTTAGACTAATTGCCTTTGATTTTTCTGTAAAGGCTATTCCAAACTATGCTCCCACAAGACGGCAGGTTTTGTTTTAGACCAATCACCGACGGAATATAAATTTGACAAAGTTCCATGGAACCTGACTAAATGATTCTAATAAGAATGTAATTTTAAATATTATGTGCTGTACTCCATATTTCTAATATTACTTTATTGAAAATGATATTTCACAACCCTTGACATTGTAATTAATGACTAATGTAATTTGTTAGTTATGTTTCATAAAAATGTTTTGCCCTTCACCAGTTTAGGCTTCGGTTTTGTTTTAAAACTTGAAAGTTTGCCCACCACTGGTTTGCGTGATACCATGTATTGTGAACAAGTACTTTATATATTTCTTAACAACACTCACAGCCTAGAAAAAATTTAAATACTAAGACTAAGAAAATAATAATAAGAAAATAACTAATAATAACATACAAACACATATACCTTCGAGTTCGAACACATCTCGATACGTGATTGCAATGTTTTTTAAATTTTTCTTCTCCATCCAAAGTCTGCCACTGTTTTGAATATTCCACACAATGCCTCCAGGTGTTGTCGTTAAAAACCAGTAACTTGCAGGGCTGTGTTGCGTTCGGATGAATAAGGCACTTCATTTTTCTGGTCAGAATGCCAGAAAAATGTCTCCTTGTTGACTATGTACGCCATGATTGAAGGATCGGGGATAGAAGTTTTCTTTATTTTGATTGGCCAAAATGGCACTCGGCATTGATCATAGCGCGTATTCCTACGCGTGTAATGTTTATTTTTTAGGTGATTAGGTTAAAAAGAATTCCATTTTTAAAAAATAATTATTAAATACTGGCACATGCTGAATGTGTGGAGATCTGTTTTTTTAAATTAGTACAAAGAGACGTGTAATTTAAAAAATTAAAATCTCCCACAGAGGTTGTTGCAACGAACTTGAACGATAATTTCCTTCGGTCTTTCGCCTAATGGCAAGCATAAAGAATCGGATGAACTGAAAGAAAGAAAGGAAGCTCATCCTTGTTATGTCTTTGAACATATAACTGATTACAGATTTTAATTTATGCTGAGGTCACGGAAGCTTATTACCCCTTGGTTCATTGAGGTAGCATGTGTTAACAGTAAAATTACTGCTCTAGCTAATTATTGAATACTAGAATGTAAATGTATGTTTATAATATTATTATAAACCTACTATTGTAGTAATGTATTAGTTACGCTTTATAAATTTGGGCTGCGTATTACAAACGCAAACGCCGGTGCTACAATTACATAGAGCATCACTCCATGTTGTTGTGTGTCTATTATAGGATAGGTCTGCTGAATATTATGGATTTACGGGCATAGATATCTGTCTCGTTCCATAGGGTGGATAATTTCCACGTCAACTCCCTTTTCAAAATTACCTTTATAAGATAGCGATACATTTCAATTCATAGCTAGCATAGAAACAAAATAGCAATTTCGTATAATTTTGAAATACATGGCTTTAAAAAAAAGTGTATTTGATTTTGACCCTCAATTACAGGAACTCGCACCTTCAAAATACCATGCGTCAGAACCAACAGATAAATTTAACATTTATCATCACCATAACACGAACGGTAATCAATGTATCCCACATGTACACGAGAACTAATGGAAGCGTGTCTTACGATGACGATGATGAAAGTCTGTACCTGCGGCATGTATTAAAATAACTTTGATCTGAAGGTTAGATAATTATCTCCCTTTAATTATCTTTATTAAAGAAAAAAAGGACAGAAAAACGTGAAATGTTTTTAATCAATTTATTTAATCTGTATATACATCTTAATCCAAACAATTCTAGATAAATAACTGGTGGTTTAATGTGGTGGTTATATATACAGTGAAAAGAATTCTATATTTTACATTAAATAATATGAAACAACACTACATTTCTAGATTTAATCAAATATTTTGAATTTCATCGATTTATGTCTGATATATAATTAAATTGATCAACAAAAGGAGTCATTAATAAAGTTTGAAGGTACCGATGCATTAATATTCATATTTCGAAATCCAATATATATGCTTATTTAAATCAGAAAAGTTGTTCAGTATAATCAAGGTTTATAAAAATAATCTTATATACACAAATAAATAATAAAACGTTAATATCACAAAGTATTATCAAAAGAATTTCCTTGTGTTTCGTTTCATACATCAGTATTAATACTGCTTTGCACAATATCTATACAAATAAACGGTTACTTATTTTATTTCATTAAAAATATGCTCACCAAATAACGAAGTGCAAATGCAGTGTTAGGTTCGGCGTCCACGTCATATTACAGACTATATTTTATATACGCAAACTCTTACAATATCCCGATACTAGAAGTGAAATAAAATGAAATGAAACGGAATGTACCGTTCTGTTTTTCTGCAGCAACCGAACTAATACAAACCGGCAAACGGTATGAAGTGTGTCATGAGCGAAATTTTGACCGGGCAAGAAAATATATTATGAGTAATATCTTCAAGGCTAAAACTCGTAATTATCGTGAACAAGATATAAGACATTATTATTCGTGTAATTAAAAAAAAATGAATGTATTATATCACAGTTATAACTATCTCATGTGCGCTAATAAATTGTGTTTGTAAGCTATGTGAATTTTTAAAATAAAAAGTATTATGAAGTGTTCTAGAAAATGAAAAATGGTATCAGGTGTTCTACATGTTACATATACTTATAGCCAATGGAGAGACAGTCTCGGGCAATAAATTTTATATGCAAGGCGTACTATGGTGCTCATGATCATTTGTCTGTTTCCACGAGTGATTGTTTGACACTAGATCGACAATTGCGATGGATCAAATGTGTACGAATCACCGTATTTCTACAAATACTTTGAATGTTCAGAATTATGTTCCTTGTCAGTGAAATCCCCAGTATAAGGAAAGTAGTAATAATAATAAGTTTACTAGATTTCGTTATGCATTCATTAAAGATGATCGAACATACCATTATTTCGTGTTATCCATATACTTTATAATCTGATATATTACGATAAAAGAAATACCGTTGTATTCTGTCGTCTTTGATCAACTTACGTTATATGGTCTCCAGCTCTAAGTTACGGTCTGTGTCATTAACAGTTCGGTAAAATCCAACAAATAGTATTTTTACAATATTAGATGAAATGTAATTAAACATACCTGGCACAAACACGATAATTTGTACATCGATCGATTATTTATTATGATATTCACACATAATTATACAGAATATACAATCGATTATTTATTATATTCATACATAATTATACAGAATATACAATCGATTATTTATGATATTCATAAATAATTATACAGAATATACAATCGATTATTAATTATACAGAATAGACAATCGATTACCAATCACTTTATAGATACACTGAGTTTGAAAATCAGCAGTTTTAATCATTTGTAGCCGACAAATAATCATTGGGTGTATATGTAAACAACATTTACTGAATAACTAATGTAAATAAAGGTAAATAATATTATATACCATTCCTAGAGGGTGTTCACATTATAGAGAGATGAAATAATAAAACAACAATAATTTTATAGACAAAATTTTTTAAATACATTTATTTTAAAATTAAAATATGTTCAGCATTTTATAAGAAAGATATAATACACCCCTCCAAAGAGTTCATCGCTTTTACTCTCATTGTTATTACCAATAATAATCAGCTTAATTTCGTCAATGTTTCAGAAAACTATGTTTCAAAACTACCGACATGACATGGATTCAAAGATAAGGACTAAGACAAAAAGGGTCACGAAAGTAGTGTAATATTAGAAACGATATATTAAACTTTGAAAATAAAATGTATTTTCTATAAATATGTAAAAAAAAAACTTAAGATATTCTTCCTTTCGTTTCATATATTTTTTTTTATGTTTATGACATTCTTCATAAATGTGAAAATAGACGAAACGAAGAACAGATCTCAGATAAAATGGAAGTAGTATTGACCTGAAATCTCTAAAAAAAAACCAACAATTTCCTGAATGTCATCCAGATATCAGAACACAAGATCATATCTACGATTTCAACATCCTCAAGAAGCATTCAATAATTAGTTTATATTCCGCTAAATAATAAAAAATAATAAAAGGGTATAAAAAGCTGTTTTGTTATCAACAAATTTAACCTGGTTTACCCCCAGCTACTAATAATGATGTAGCATTATAATTACTAACAGAAGTTAGGACAGGGATGGTATAACTTAAAGAACCCACTATAATAATCAAATATATAACAAAGAAAATACGATCTAAAATCAGGGCTACGGCTTTCCATTCCTTCATCATGGCCTCTTTGCGGTCACGCTCGCTCAAACGCTTACGATTTTGCTTGATGAAATCTCTTAGTTCACAGAGTTGCTTATCTATAGAGAATAACGGTCCACCGCTTCTAGCCAAATCTTTTTGTAGATGGACTAACATCTCTGTAGACGCCATTGGATCCGGGTTCCATTTATCAGGAGGTGTTTCCACACGGCTACTTCCAGCCGGGCCTTCGGCAAAAGGTTTTATGTTGCGTAGCGGACTGACTAATGAGTCCATAAATAATACTTTGGCCACAAAATTAAAAAGAAGCTGCAAAATAAGATTAATTCATTGTGTCATATGTTTAAAATTTATATAAGACGGAACGAAAATAAACGCCTGGAACAGCACAAGTATTTTCACAACTTTAACATTACCTACTGACCAGACACATTACATAACTAACGGGACACCACCCATTAAAATAAACCCTTTATAACAACAAACAAAAACAATTGCCAAAGTAACGGCATATAAAACTACATCAGTTTGGGCTAAGAACATAAAGTGACCTTCACATTTCTTGTATTCGTTAAAATATAAGTTCGGCTCTTTTTCAATGAACGATATTTCGAAACATTTACTTCGTTCTGCTTCGTTCTGTCGTCCGGACGTCTGTCATTCGGCCAAGACTAATCAATAACTATAATTAATAAATGTTTACTCACAGATCTGATAGGTTCAGGACAATGACTTCGAGTTGCCCCATAATGATTTAAATTCACAACCATGACGTTGAGAAAAGATGATAACGTTATAATTGTCATATTAAGACAGTAATAGGTACCTGAAATATGCATAATTCATATTTAATAAATTAACAACAGCCTAGCAAACAATACAAGCATTAACTGATATTCAAAGGTCTTCGAATAGACTTTGACTTACAGCAGGTAAACTACTATCATTTATTTGGGTTCATTAACAACATTGTAACTTATATTTTCAATATAGAATAAGTCAAAGATTCATTGAGCGCACGGCATAATCGCTCGGTTGCCGTGCTAAACAGAATTCGCCGGGCAGAAATATTAGATTAAGTATTTCAGAATGCTTGTACCCATTGAAAGTTCTCAAGTGTTATTTTTTGATTATCATTTATGTTAAACTTGAGATAATTTCTTTTCTATTTCTTTGTTACCTTGAACAGATTTATGTACTTATTAAGAAAAGACAGCTTTTGTAAGTTTCTATAACTTTCGTTCGATCCTTTTAGTAATAACATATCCTTAAACTAACCAACCAGTATGTTATCTTGGCAAGGGATTCTGAAATCGTGGATAGGTATGCATGTATGGATTCGAATATTCTCCGAGATGTACGGGGGAGAGATATGTCTGCGGTGGCACCCAAGCACAAGATTACCCAAAATAGTTTCAGTCTCAAAAGATTTCACAAAGAGCAAAATGACCATAAGAGAGATATGTCTGCGGTGGCACCCAAGCACAAGATTACCCAAAATAGTTTCAGCCTCAAAAGATTTCACAAAGAGCAAAATGACCATAAGAAACAAGAATTTGTGCTGATCCATGGCCAGACAGTCAGATTTTGATGGATAGATCAAGGTGATTAGTAATATAAGAAAAAAATGTATTTTCTATATCTTTGATAGAGATAAGTTAACATACATAGTGTGAAATTAATGAGAACTCGGCAGTATCACTGTAACCCGATTATCAGTAAATGATTGCCTCCAGCGAATAGCACGCTGTGAATAAATGCTTGAATATGCATCACTTTATACTTTAGTTCAGTTTAGCATTCTTAACGCTCCCCGGTGAATAAAATACTTCTACATTTGTGCAACAGCGTATTTCAACCGACTTTTTATCTTCTTGCACTTTTCTTCGTATTTTTGGAGTTTGTTGTAATTCCAGTGTAATCGTAGGTAAAATCAAAATCACAGACAGACTGGGAGTGGGTGGGGGTTGGTACAAGGCAGTTTTCTTATCTCATGAATTAATTTTCTTTTAAAATCTAGTTATTGTAATATAATTTCTTAATGCAAACGCCCTTTCGATAAACTGGGCAGCTTTAAAACCAGAACAAAAATTCAACCAGACGATAATCCACATTTCTTTGTGTGTGTGTGTGTGGGGGGGGGGGTCATTAGTGCACTTATACTTACTAGCTCACAGGCAAATTAGTCCTTGTATGCATTTGATATTAAACAATGACGGGCCGGGGTGTGGTGATGCCCGGGGTCATCTACTTGATTGTATGCCCCCAATACTCATATATAGGCATAGTACAGAGAAGTATTAGAAAGGGGAACAACTTTAAACGAACTTTACCGAGATTTATTTTATCTTGATCAACATAACGCAAATTATTTACATGTTTTCTACTCTAGTCTTCCTTATTAAACACCAATCCACATACACACCAGATTGTGGACCGTGGGGCAGCTTTTACTACCAAGTTAACAGCTATAATTTTAAAATCCTCTGAACTGAATGGCGAGGTGGTTATACCACTTGTGCCCTCATTGCACACCTATGCATTCCAATTCCATGTAACAAAAATTTCTTCAAAAGATGAATTTGAAATCAACACACTATTTGAACAGATAAAACTATGTTTTCAAATCTTTGTATTTCGAGTAAAATTTTGTATGCCAAATATAACCAAAAAATGAAGAACAAGACGTTTCATTATTCGATTGCAGTAAATCGAAACTGTTTCTAAAATATAGACGACAAAGACCAAATAAAAACAAAAACAGTAGAGATCAGAAGCGAAATCATTTCTCTCTCTTCATTCTCTCCTTCGGGAACGAAAAATAAATGGAAATATCGTAATCTCAAAGAACAGATTTCTTCAAATAGTGACAGCTTAGCAGAAGGCCATTCATTTATGCCTTTGTTTGCAAAGAAAAAAAGGAGAAATTTACACCCAACAAATTAATGTCACGCAATACAATTGTTCAAAGTTTTCAATAAAGATATCGGAGGTATTTGCATTTGAAATATAGGCACGCAATAGAAACCCTCTTTTACTTAATGTCAGTAAGGGTGTCATGTTTGGTTCAATACCTTTAGTGGGGTATTGAGGTGTGTAAGATGTTAAAAGAGAAGGAGAATAGGGTTAAAGTCCATTCGACATAAACTCGGTCATTCGAAACTATATGCCACTTTACTCATTCGAATATTCGACCGCAACAGCCCGAAGTGTGAGATTTTACTTGCTATACACAAGCCATATGTTTTTTTTAGTTACCAGAGTAAACCGTGATTGATACATACGAGACAGCTACTTCAAAATTAATCGGGTAGACAGTTTAATATGTTTCTTGTTTATTTTCGTTATATCTTTTTTATTATTTGTTTATTTAGTTTAAAACAGAATTACCGTGCCCGTGTTGTACTCGTGTACAGTTTGCTCTGTCTGTGCTTTGTCAATGTCCCATAATATTTCAAATTTGATTATAGCATATAAATATATATCTATACATTTTTTATATATTTTTCTATAGGATATTAGTTTTGACAGTAGATACTGTATCCATAAAACCAATATGGTTATTATTTATCCTGGAGTTCAGGTCCATGTTATATGTTTAACATTACCTAGTAAAGGCATCACGGAAGAACCAGGTGGTAAATTCTTTTCTAGAATTTTTAATAACACAAAGAATGCAATAAATTCTGTTAAACCTGAAAATAAAAAAAAGTTAAATATTTAACGGCCGAATTGAAAGACTTTTCAGTCGCCATTGATTTCAGGCTGTATCTTTATAGGATCAAATCACAATTCAGCAGATCCTGATTGTTCTACACTATACCAACCTACCAATCAAGTCGAATGTATCGTTAGCTGTCGTCAAGTTCTTGAACGTATCTTAAGATGTTAATGGATTTGTAACCGGAACAAACGGGGAAAAGTTAACAATTAAATTTAATTAGATTGCCCTTTAAAATATAGTCACGAAGTTGACCATATAGATGTATATATTATGCCAATATAAAAGAATTGTTAAGAATTTCTATTATAGATTGTCTTGGATTGGCGTTTACAATTTAAGTAAATTCTTGGCTAATTACGAGAGAAATGTTATGCTGGTCATTCAGACTATTTCCGCTAAACAGACATCAACAGTTCTTAAGAGACCATGACTGTACAACTTGATCAGAATCTTAACAAAATCTCATTGGGACATGACATGCTATTCACGAATAGATAAGCCATTCAATACTTAATAGGCTATAGACCCGATTTCTCCGCAATCTGTATTCAAAACTTAATGGCGTTTACATAAAACCAATGATGCGCCAACCGATAATCGATCCCACAGAAAAGATTTTTAGATATTTACTGAGTTTAATGCTTGATCTGCATATTTTAATTGCATGGTTACATAACGTCCGCCAACGTGTTATTTTATTTACAATCGAAATCCCCCTTAGATTTGAGTTTTTGCAATTTAGTGCATGTTATTTAAAAATACAAGCCAATAATTTATAATGTTGAAAAGGTTGAATTTGCTATGTTGTCTTTGGGGAGTTTATTTATTAGTTTGGTTTTCTTCATTTTTGTAGACAAAGGAAATCTTTTACAAAGACATTTTTGGGGAGCTAGATTGGAAGAGGGAACTTCCGATTCTCTGTTTACGTATTTAAAACAAGTTGGAGATTGTATTTCACTAATAACGCTTATTCACCATAAACATTTTATCTTAATTTAAATACATGTATTGCTAATTCTGATAATGTGCTATCCTAAGAACGTTCGTTCATCCTAGTGAATTTCTCCAAACGCCCCTGATGCTGTAAATATCTGGTCTATAAAGCACAATGAAATGGGTTTTAACGTCCTGCGTTACTACATACACCGACTGGGTTAATGAAGGCGGACTTACGCCACACACTGTGCCCAGACAGCGTCAAATTCTAAAACAAAAAACTCTTTCAATAAATGCTTACCAAGTTGCATCTTAGCTGGTGATTCTGGTGGAATCCAGAACAGCACTAGGGTAATAGACGTCAACAGCACACAGGGCAATATAAGAATATAATTATACAAGGTAGCTTTTCTTTGGAATACAAGGTCGTACGTTAGATCGACGTAGGGTTCAGGACAACAGCTGTAAATGTGAACGTTTCTTTTTCCCGGTACGTCTATGATTGTCCAAGCATTACTCGGTACATATTCAGTTAAATCTATATAGTTTTTATTTTCATAAAAGTCCACGTCCATTCTATCACCATTATAAGTCCATGAACCAAATTTTAATGTACAATTCTGTATATCAAAAGGAAAGTAGTAAACATCAATAGGACAGGAACTACGGTAGACCACTTGAGGCATCCACTGTATCATCCCATCATTACGAAATACACATAGTGGTTTTCTTTGTTCTTCAAGTCGTAAGTCAGCACTGTTAAACAAAAAAGAATAATAAAAGAAAGTCGCATTATAAAAGGTATTAAAAATGCATTATTCAAGAGCTAAATCTGCCTATTGCAGGGTTTTCTTTAGGTCTGAAATGTTATCTAATTTATTAACTGGACATTAATTAACTTATCCACATCATCATCAACTCTCGATGTTATCGTTAGCCTGGGATATTTACTGGATTTGAATACATTTAGTGATGGATAATTCAACGTATAAATGGATAATCGAGACTTTCATTGTTATCATACCAGCGTCAGTAATGACGACCGAGACTAGCCTAAAATTCAATGGCTAATAATCTCGGTTCAGAGTGAAGCAATTTGATAGAAATTTTGAGCGTATTTTGTTTTCATTATCTATTTTTTAACTATTATAGCGAGAACTGTCAGCTCTTTATCTAATCTTGCCTAATGCCCTTTTAATTGATACATTTTCCTAGGACTATATTCACGAAAACTTGAACCATGGATGAAGCCCATAAATTGGCTGAATTTGTTAAAATTCTAGTACAAATGTTAAAGCCCAGGCATTGAAGAGCCCGCACCTTTAAAATATTTGAGTTCAAGTGCTCTGCTCATGCATACGGCCCCTGAAAGCTAACAAATATCTACTCAGAGCATAACGAGTTGTTAATTTAGGGTATCAAAGGAGAACTACAGTCGTAGTTATCTAATATTAAATAGTTTCGAAAATGCACAAGCCGAAATGAAAAAAATGTTGACTTTAAATTGAAAATTAAGACACCGGATATGACATCATTAGGGTGATTTTATTGTCAGTCACTGTTTATCATCAAAACCATGTGCACGCATAATAGCTGCTTTTCGCAACGTAATATTCCCTATGGGGTGTAAAACCGAGATCCCATGAGACATGTTAAAGACCCTCTGTCATTTGGACATCAAAGTAAGATAGGCCGTAGCATCGCTGACAGGGCACAATTTTCCCCACTGTGTACTGTAATGCATATTACCGTCTTTATTAGCCTGGTTGATACAAGAACGTAAGTCGCTAAACCCCATTTCATTTGTACATAAAAAGTGATTAGTACGTCCCCCTCATAACGTCTCAAGCGCATCTTAATTTGTTAAGTATTTGTATTTCAGATTGTGCATTTTTGAAATATCAGATAACGAATAAAATATAAACAAATGGCAACGGCTGGAGTTACCAGATGTTTTCTTTATCAAACTTAATAATAATTAGTGTTGGGGAGGAACTACAGTAATTCTAGAACAAAATATATGTACAATAAGCTGCGGATATTCAGAAAATGCTAATTAGGACAAGAAAAGGGTCCAATATTTTACGAAATCTTTAACTTAACTTTGAAAAAGACCACATTTGACACATTTCGAATTTAATTACCTCAAGAGAAACTCCTTTGGAACGTTTTTATCAATGGTCCCTAACAGCATACTTTAGGTCTAAATAATTGGTAAAAGGTCACGAGGTGTAAACAGTGCTAGCGCTAACCCCAACCCTACCCCTTACCCTAACCAACAAACTCGGCAATAATCACGTGCCTTAATTCGATTTACATCTCGCGACCTTGACGAAATTTGTAGCTGGCTCTAATATTTAGACCTGACTGTATCTCAAAAGGCACGTTTGTGCTTTTAATCAAGGGAATGGAGGCGCTAAAATTTCTTAATCACTCCCCTATCTCCAAACTAAGCTAGGTGAGTCTCTCATTTACGTCTGTCTCTCCGTGCAAATTACTTAAGAATAATTGTCTTGGGTGTTAATTTAACCTGTAATCTGTCGTGATCAGTTTCAATAAATACAAGATAAATCAAGATATATAATTGTAACGAGTGATAAGCCGATTATGAAGACATCTATGCAAGTTAGGCTTCATCTTGATGTGTTTTATAATAAAGGTATATCATAATTATTACCAAACCAATTGGTGTTTGCGTTATACATTTTGTGCATTTCCTTTAATCGAATTCTCTATTAACTATACTGAATATTTGAATCATCACATTGGTCTATACGATGTCGTAATATTATTGTTTAGACTCAAACATTTTGGTCGAATACAGTTTCGTCATCTTGTTGTTTAGTCTCGTTTATTTTGGTCAAATACAATGTCGTCATCTTGTTGTTTATATTCGTGTATAACTTAGTGCTCTAACTTAATTAGTATAATTTACTTATATTTCTTAATTAAATGTATTCAAAAGCAGAAATATATACCATAACACTCGTTATTCAGTCAGCAGTTAGTTATGATATTTCGTGTCATGTGGGGGTCTATTTTCGGGCAATGAGGAATATTAATTCCATGAAATTTCGTTTATTTTCTTATATTATGGTTTAAGAAGATAGAAACAAACAAACAAGATGGTAGGTTTACAATGGCCATGGCTATATTCTACACACTAACTTTCATATTCCTTTCCATATAGAGGTATATGCTTCCCACATGTCCGAATATTGTATACGGTGGCGCATATAACCATTGCTTAATGATAACGCATCGATGCCGAACAAAAACGGCGTGCATCACAAGACGTTTACGGCTTGCACTAAAAGCTAACCTAAACTAACACAAAGAAGGTCGACTTAATGAAAATCATTGCATGGTGCTTAACAGTGTTTACAGCCTTTGGCAGCCATATTTTGAGAGAAAAAGAAGTTGTTGAAGTCATCTACAAACAAAACCAGATAGGTTCAGGCGTAACCAGGAATGTATCGTTAGTTTGTGAGATAATTGCTCGGAAAGTCAACAGCAAACTGATTCGATTTGACACAACGGTGTATACTCAAATAAAAATTAACGAATCATCTGCTCCGAATCTTTAAAATATGACAATACTTACTAATTGTATAGTTTGATGTCAGGCAACCAGATTTTATCCCATGGAATTCTAACACTTTCTACTCCACCATAATCAGAAACATTCCAATATATATGGCTATCTTTCCACCACTAAAATATATTTAAACATTGTTAGAGTAGTTTTATATTCTTAGTTAGACCACATTGCAGTACAATAGAAATTCGACTTCGGGGTAATAGTGCTGACTGGGGGCGGTGGGGGGGGGGGGTCCTGTATATATTTCTTTTTTACAGCGAAACTTTGGATTTTCCTGTTCTATATATTCTGAAAATCTGGATAACACTCCCCGACCAAGTACATTTTTCCTGCACAGCCAAATTAATGATGATGACTTGACGCCAATCGGTCAAAATAGCAAAATTCAGTTTTCTTGGAGTTGGCAGCATTTGATTTAAATGGAACATTTACTTATCATGTTTAGACATAAATAACATGTTTTAAACATGGCTCAGTGCCATAAACTATCATTTTCAGCCTAAAAATACACTATTTAGCAATCAATTTCAGTTTAAAGGTAGCTCAAAATCTGACCAGCTCTCACTGATCGAATTGTGTAGATAAAGCAACCAAAATTGGTCAGAAGTTTCCTTATAGAGAAATTTAATAATTCCATGCATAATATTCATGATTAAGGGTATTGTATAGTGACCGTGGGGTCAAATGTCAACAAAAGATACCCCTTTCCCCCAAAATTAGTATTAACCTTAATTGGTCCAACATTGAATGTAAGTGTAAGTGTGTCTTTTAAATTGACCCAATTTGCATAATTTCTAAATAACACTCCAAAATTCACATCCGTCAAGAAGGACAGAGACAAAGTAAGTGTTGTATTATCTCTTATAGAGTTTTTTGTATGGATCTTTGGGTTTTTCAGTCCTGACATATCACTGCTTTGTCCGCTTTTACCTATCGAACTTGATTAATTAACATAAATTCAAGATGACAGCCCGAAGGGCAATGAAATTTACAAGGAATGATAAGTTACAATTGAGGGCACAACAGTTTGCTTTCTTCGTTTATCTCTAATATTCCACCTTGTGAAGCCAGTCCCTGGGTGTCTGGTCGTAAACAACCAAAGGCTGTCTTCGGAAAACCAGCCGCTCATATTCTAGGCACTACAATATCACGACAGGACATTTGGTCCTTCGGGTTCAAAGGGTTAATAACAAATCTAGAATGGCCGATGTGCCGCCTGGTGCCCTTTTATACACCGACTTTTTCTTTTGTAGTGTTTATTACAGACAAGTAGTCTCATTTTAGTACATTTATGGTACGTGTCTTTCCTGTGATGTACCCGGAGTAAACCCCAGAGGTTCAGAAGCTGCCCTTATCCCCAAGCCACATACACTCACACTAGTGATCGAAACCACACTTTTAAGCCAGAGGTGTCCGGCCAGATAGAGCTCGAAGCGTGATACTCTTGATGACAAGGCCACCCCAATCCCCTATAAGCTGACTGAAGAGCTGATCTTTTTAATTGAACTGTAAATCAAGGTAAATACACTACATAAGACCAGTTTGTTATCCCACCCTAACGACTAGATGCTTGTCTTTGTCGGGCAAGACGAGACCGCACCAGTAAAGTGGAATTGAATTAAATACCCTCTATGACACTATCCCGAGTCGCGGTACCAAAACGAAATTAGATGCGACACTATCCTAGTCACGGATCTCCAGAAAACGGGTTGTGACACTATAGTGACAAATGTATAATCAGGACTTTCACGTTGTGTATAAAACTTCAACGATCAATAACTCTGGAACACTGTGTTGTTACAACTGTGTTTATATAACTTTATAACATCCGTAATACAAAGGTCATATACAGGAAACTACACATACAGCTATGACATTAAATATAAGCTAAATATAAGTTCCCTGTCACTTATCCTGTGTTTTGTGGCGTTACATGATGATCTCCCTCGGTCTCTAAGCCAAGGCGACTAAAGGTATGTCCCTCAACACTTCATGTCATCTCTGTCCCAGCTTCTAATCCGAGGAGGCTGTGGGTATGCCTTCTAAGAACCCCGCATGATGTTGGGATCCCGGCCTTTAAGAACGCCAATGATGTCTGAATCCCGGCTAGAAGCCCGAGGCGGCTTAACGTTCCTTTAGGATCGCTCTACGATGTCTAAAGGAAATTTGATGGCGCTGTTTAATTTATATTACAAGTTTAAATACGTCGGCTATTAGGGCGGGGCAATTACCATTTTTGGGTAAGTGTTCCGTATGAGTACCGTTTTACGTCAACGTCATTCTATTTGATTGGACTAGTCCGTGCACCAGATGCCTGGGCCATAGTAACCCACTTCCAGAAAAGGATAATAGCAGAACTGTCACTGGATTAGTCTAAGAAAGTTGAATCTTGCAAAATATCTACTTAGCCCAGTTCTCGTTGTCACCCATTAGTCTAAGAAAGTTCAATACATTAAACAGAGAATCTTTCATAGAACTAAAATAATCCCCGTAGTTTTACATTGTTATTTTTCTGATTTCTTTTCTTTTATCGTGTGACAGACCAGACATACTGATACGAAATCCTTTAAATAACAGACATTTATATTTACTTAACTGATCATCAGACCCATGAACCTGTCTGAAAAAATATAACTAAGATATTGCATAAGGCGGTTTAACATCAATTATTTACAAGGTTATTTAATTTTTTAAAATCAATACTGGTCCATTATTGTACTGCTGAAATTCATGTTTGAAAACCTACGTTCTAGTCGGTTCACAACCCCCAGATTAGTGACCATTTATCGGCGAACAAGGTTTGGCGATGGTTTCTGATAGACGGGACCCTAGTGAAGGTATCTGTAGTATTCTACCCCCCGGTAGAGCCGAAAATCCACGATGGAGGCCAAAATGGTCTGAAAATGACCTTGACAAACAGTATTGGCGAAATGACATATGTAATATATATTTTTATAGCGCCTTTTTCATAATGGCTGAATGAATATCTCCATCCCCTTAAGATGATAAAGTTCAGATTTAGTCTAAATTAAATTGTTGAGGAATTTTGATAAATAGTGGCATGAATGTTACTTAGCTTGCGGTTGTTGTGATCTTGTCTGATTAAATTGCTCGATCCCATAGTTTTTGGTACAAAAGCACGTGGGTTGAGCTAATTTTGGACCCCCAGTGAACTCTTTAAAGGGTTTCAACAAAATTTGGTAGGTTGGTTGCCAGGCATCCATTTCATAGGAAATCCAATCAAAGAGAGAAATCAAAATTAAGTTTTTTTTATAATTTGAAATTATTCCTGTTACCTTTGTTGTAAAAGGTTTATTTCATCTGATTTTACATAGGCCCTATACTAGAATGGGCGGTAGGGGCGGTAGGGGCAAATAATGAACCCGGCATCACCCTGACTTCATGAATGCAAAAGCGAAAAAAACTGGAAATCATTGATAAAACTCGAATTTGATGAGATTTCCTATCAGGGTATAGGGGTGTGTGTGTGTGTGTCCTTCCTTCTGAAAAAGTTCCCTCTCATCTGAAAAAGTGCCCTCAAAAGATTTTGAAAGGATTACTTCAAATACTCATGGAAATGCCCACTCTAATGTCATCATATTCCCATTGCCGTAATGAAAACATCGGACCCTCGTTCGTGCTGCCCTTCCCTTGTTCTAAAAAATCTAGCGATACTGAAAACCAATAGCGCTCCATCTACAAAAAGTTATGCCCCCCCCCCACCCCCCCTTGGAAAAAATTTTCGACCATAAAAAAATAGATATACATTGTTCGTCAATATTACAGCACCCCTCCGAGAGCACTTCCGACCATCAGTTTCAGACCATTTGTTGACCTCTATCTTGGATTTTCGGTTCTCCTGGAGATAGCCCGTAAATTTCAAAGGTAGTAAACTACAAGTATCTTCACTAGAGTCCCTTCTAACAGAAAAAATCGCCAAACCTTATTCCCCGATAAATGGTCACGGACCTGGGGGTTGTGGTCCCACTATCATTGTCTCTTCATGCCGGGTTGTGAAGGAGATAAGGTTGGTTTGGGAGGAAATATGGTTGTTTGGGAGGAGATACGGTCGGTTTGAGAGGAGATACGGTCTGCTGGAGAGCAAATAAGGTCGGTTGGAGAGAATATACGGATGGTTTGGGAGTTATTAGGGTATGTTTGGGAGCAGACAGTTGGTTGGGGAGGATATAAGGTCGGTTGTGGAGGAGATACAGTTGGTTTGGGAGGAAATATGGTTGGTGTGGGAGGAAATAGGGTTTACTTCGGAGGTGATAGTTGGTTTGTGAGGATAAATGGACGGTTATGAAGGCAATAAGGTCGGTGGGAGGAAATATGGTTTGTTTGGGAGAGAAACAGTCGGTTGGGGAGGGGGATACAATCGGTTGGGGAGTGGATACGGTTGATTGGAGGGGATACGGTTGGTTTGGGAGGAAATACGGTTGGTTCGGTGGATGGGGGGGATCCCGGCTTGTTTGGGAGGAGACAGTTGGTTGGGGAAAATATAAGGTCGGCTGTAGAGGAGACACGCTTGGTTGCGACTTACCATTTCTAGTAAATTTCACTGCTCTTCGGGCTGCTATCTTGAATTTATGTTAATTAACCAACTAGATGGGTAAAAGTGGACAATACACTGATAAAGCAGTGATATGTCATGACTGAAAAACCAAAGATCCATACAAAAACTCTATTAGACATACCGTCTTCATTATCCAAGTCGGAGCCGAACAGAACTTAAACCCCATTTCATGTCATTTCTATTACTATTAGACATAATGCAACACTTACTTTGTCAAGCTAAAATGGGTTGAATATGGTCCCACTAAATAGCTTGCTATTTAAAAAAAACCTGAACAGTAGGACGTTAAACCCCATTTCATTTCATTTCTATTAGACATAATACATCACTTACTTTTGTCAAGTTAAAATGGGTTGAATATAGTTGAAGATAGCTTGCTATCAAAAACCCATACATATACACCAAAACAAACGTTATATCACACTTACATTCAATGCTAGACCAGTTTAGCCAATTAAGGTTAATACTACTTTTGGGTGATAAGGGTAACTTTTGTCGACATTTGACCCCACGGTGACTATACAATACCCTCAATCT